AAAGAATGGGATCCATCCAAAAAGGGATATGGGACAGGGGCAGAAGCTCAGTGGTAGAGCAGCCTTAGGATGTTCCGGGGTTCGATCCTTAGCAACCCCTCTGTCTTCATTTGGGTTTCTGTTGCGGTGATAAAACACCAGGACCCTGAAAAGCCGCTTGGGGAGGAAACGGTCTGTTGTTTGCTCCTTTTACAGCTTGTGCTCTATTATCCCAGGAAGTCAGGGCAGCAACCCCAGGCAGGGACCTGGAGGCAGGAGCTGATGCGGAGGCCATGGACGGTGCTGCTCACTGCCTTTCTCCTCCTGACTTACTCAGCCTGTTTTCTTAACCATTTAGTACCACTCGCCCAGGGTTGATATCACGTGTTTTTTACACACCCAGGACCACCTGTACGGCGGTGAGGGTGGTACCCTATAGTTAACTGGGCTTGTCTAACATCCTTTATCAGTAGAAATGTACTGAAGGCTTACTTATCCACAGTTCAGTCTGGCCGGAGAATTTTCTCAGCTGAGTTTGCTCCTTCCCAAGCAACTCTGCTGGTGCCAAAGCAAAACTATTCAAAACTGCTCAACCGCCAACCACACTCTAACTCAACCCCCTGGCCAAAAAAAGAGAAAAAACATAAGATGGACTTAAAGTTCCAGGAGGTTTTTTTATCCCCCCCCCCTTTTTTTTTTTTTTTTTAAAGATTTATGTATTATGTATATGGTGTTTTGACTGCATGCATGCCTGTGTGCCAGAAGAGGGCGCCAGATCTCATTACAGATGGTTGTGAGCCACCATGTGGTTTCTGGGAATTGAATTCAGGACCTCAGGAAGAGCCTCTGAGCCATCTCTCCAGCACCCCCCCCCCTTTTTTTTTGAGAAAGTTTTGCTATGGCCTAGAACTCAGGATACAGCCCAGCCCGACCCTGAACATGCAGCCATTGGTCTAAGACTCTCAGGTCAGGTGTTGGGAATACAGGTATATCACCGCCATTCCTAACTTCAAACCTGGATCTTTGAAATCCTGATTTTATTTTTTTTTTAAAAATCCATATTTTACTAATTAGCTTTGTGAGTTTGATTAATTAAGCTGAAAGGGGAAATCTGCCCCATGAATTTTACTCAAAAACGAGAAAGGGACAGAATGATCATGCTGAGATTCAAGGTGTACACTACCACATCTGGCCCATGAGGTTTTTTTTGTTTTTGGAAACGGTTTCCCTGTGTAACTTTGGTGTCTGTCTTGGGACTGAATTTGTAGACCAGGCTGACCTTGAACTCACAGAGATCTGCCTGCTCTGCCTCCTGAGTGCTGGAATTAGAGACAGTCACAATCACCACCACCACTATCCAGCTGAGTTTTAATGGTAAACAAAATTATAGGCACCTTTTATTTCTCTGCTTTATTTATTCCTATGCTTTAGGAATCTATCATAACCATCAGTTAGAGCCACAGGCTAAGAGGATGGACACACACGGGGTGGGGGGGGGAGGGGGGAGAGAGAAAGTGCACTTGAGCAGCTTGGGTCTTACAGGGAGGGAGGGAGGGAAGCTGACCTCAGTCTTGATGCAGAGCTAAGACTGCTCTTGACTTCCTGACCGCTGGGTGCAGGGATCCTAGTTATGCACAGACAGCTCAGCCCTGAAGCATTGTAACTTAGGATACTGCTAAACTATGGTACTGCCAGAAATGGTGCTCTTACTTCACACCCTTCCCATATGTGCATGTGTGTTTGCTGTGTGTGTACATGTATGTTTGTTGTGTGTATATATTTGCTGTGTGTATATGTGAATATTTGTGTGTATATGGGATGTTTGCTGTGTATGTTTGCTCTGTGTGTTTGTGAATGTTTGCTGTGAGAATGTTTGCTCTGTGTGTGTATGTTTTGTGTGTGTGATTGTGAACGTTTGCTCTGTTTGTGTGTGTGTATGTGAATGTTTGCTGTGTGTATGTATGTGAATGTTTGCTTCCTGTGAATGTTTGCTTATCTGTGTGTGTGTGTGTGTTGGGCAGGATCTCCAATTGTAGAGAGCTCACTGGTAACTGCTGGTCTAGTTAGCCAGCTCGTCCTGGGGATTTTTTCCCAGTAAAATCACAGCTGGGGTCCCCACACCCATGTGGCGATAAAGATGCTTCCTGTGTAGCCTGAGGACTCTAGTTCAGTTCCTAAGACCCACATGGTAGAAGAGAAGAACTTGGAGGTTCTCCTCTAACACGTACCCACATACCTGGGCACACACGTGCTCACACACAACATAGATTGTAATATATGTGCTCATTTTCCTTACTCATAACTACAGGGGTAAAAAGCAGCTCTCCTGACCACTTCATAGCATTTGGGGATGGCTGCTCTGGCTTCTGGACTCTGTGGACAGGGCGGGGAGTGCATCCCACTAATTGACCACCTGCTATTATTACCTGGCTGAGAGTGGTTGGGTAGGAGTCAACTATGGCATCAGATTGAGAGCCTGTGAACATTGTTCATGCAAATGAGCAACCTCAATGGATGAGGTAATGTCTCCCTCTGGGGCAAAGGGCAGGCTTGCTGTAAACAGTAGGGTGTTCAGCTTCCTGCTCCTCACCTGCATCAAAACCCACCATGTGCCTGCCATGTGTGTCCCTCAGTGTGGGACTTTGCCTGACACCCACAGGCGTGGGGGGTGTGGCTAACAGGCTTGTGATTCATCCGGGTGATGTTGACATCGTGACACGCTCAGATTAGTTTTTAAGGATTTTTACTTTTAATTCAGTAGACGTGTGGGTCTGTGCATGTGTGGAGGCCAGGAGAAGGCGTTGGATGTCTGGAGGCTGGAGTTACAGAGTGTTGGGCCTGGCTGAGCCACACAGAGTGGGTGCTGAACCAAACCTGGGTCCTCTGCAACCATCTCTCCAGCCCCCAACTTACCTTTTCCAGACAGTAACCCGTCAACTTTGCAACATCTGTCTCCTTGGTGTCTATGAAGTAAGCCAGGATGCCTGGGGCTGACAATTTGTGGCCAGTTGTTTTCTTAACTTGGAACAGAGCCACATAAAGTTATTTACCAGGATTTATCCTCACTCTGCAGCTGAAGATGCCTCACCACACCCAGTTTCTGTGGTAATGGGGACAGAACCCAGTGCGTGAGGCAGTCTGTCTACCCACTGTGCGAAGTGGTGGCAGAGACAAAGTAAGCCTCGAGTATCAGGTATCCACCCCTTTAAGAACATTTGTTGACTCCCACAAGATGTCAGTCATTTCTCTCTTAGGAAAATGGATCAAACACCTGGGCCAGCATCTTCAAAGGTGCATCGACTATCCACTTAAGAGCTGGCAATGGTTAGTTATCAGGATGCGTTTTCTTTCCAAAACAATGGTATGTGTGTTGGTGTGCATGCAGGAGGCCCCTGGGCTAGTGACAGATGGTTGTTGGCTACCGTGTGGGTGCTGGGGACTGGACTTGGGGTCCTCTGCATGAACAGCTTTTCTTGTCCACTGAGCTGTCTTCCCAGGCCCCGATGATGAGACCATGGACGGGGAAATGGTTCACTTTCATTGCTAGGTTAGTTGTTATTACACAGTAGCTCAAAGGTGATGTGGGTGGGGCGGGCTGACCATATGTATGTATATATGTGTGGTATGTATGAATATATGTATGTATGGTATGTGTGTTTGTCAGCCCTGAGTTCGGTTCTAGCAACAAAAGAACCACCACAAACCCCCAAGCAGCAGCCACCTTCTCAAGCCTTGTGAGGGTCGCTGCTTATGGACTAGAACAAAGGACACACCCCACTGGAACAGAAGTAGTTTTAATTTGTTGAAAAGTGCAGCGGTGACAGGGTCCTTCAAAGGGCACTTCCTAAGTGAGTGGGGTGACAGCCTGGGCGGGTGATGCCCACGGCAGGTGAGGCTAGAGAAGGAATTTACAGTCCCCTGAAGCGTGCTGGCGCGCTAAAGGCCGCAGTGGGCCGTCCACCCCAGCGGTGCTCGGCTGAGGTACCCTCTGCCTTCTCGTGAGGGATCATTTTAAAAAGAAAACATTTTCTGTAGATAGTGACAAGTTTAAGATTATTCCTCACGGGTTAAGGTGTGTTCCATAGCTACCCTTTATTTTGTACAAGAACCCTAGCACTGACGAATCAAAAGGTGTTTGCAACTGTACCATCTGTTAAACCCAGAGACACTCTATAAGTATCCGCTACTGAGGAACGGCCTGAGGGACAGTTTTAAAGCGGGACATCGTTTAAGGCAGAAGCCCGCATCCCACATTGGTTTTCGGTTCTCTGCTCCGAAGAGCACTGGCGGACATGGCAATACTCGCTGGGGTCCGGATTCCAAGGCTCTTCAGGGCGTCCCTTGTAGGTGGCAAGCCGAGCCCGCTGCGGTCTGTTAGGGTAAACCCAGCTCCACTCCAGCGTTAGCAGGGACAGCACCCTAACCGAGGCACATGTCCCGCCGCCCGAACGTGAGGGCAGCTGGGGAAAATGAAATACTACTGGCAGCTGACTTGTCTTCACCTGCTGCTACGAGCCAGCCACAAAGCTGAAGAGTACGACAGCACAGCCCAAGGCCTGGTACGAGCCGGTTACTTTTTATTTGGGAACAACTGCGGTCAACTTTCACTAATGGCTGGTGGCGTTTAGAATCAAGTGAAGCAAATGAAGGCCAATGCTGGCATTCACTTCTGTAACTTAAAAATATTTCCTTCCTCTAAAGCAGCCAGGGCAGAGCGTCCACTCCATGCCAGTTTCTCTCGGGGTCACCGCGGTTGTTGGGGTCACAGGAGTTACGGGAATGAACTCCATGGCTATGACCCCAGGATGGCCTGTGAGATCCCCAAAGTGACTTCCAGCTGTGTCCCAGGTGTTTAAAGCTGGACAGACGCTGTGTAAAGCTGAAATCAGTCACCATCTAAGTAGGGCAGATCTTTTAAGCTAAGGAACAGGACAACATGGTTCCAGGCAGCCAGGAACCTTGGACGGGGGGGGGGGGGGGCTGACTAGAACCCTAGTTAATTCAAGACTCTGGAAACTCAAGAGCTTACGTGAAGGGGGGGGGGAGGGAGAGAAATAGCTGGTTCATGACAACCACGACACTGTAGTATTTTAAATGACAAGGGCAGCTGGTCACGATGACGGTGTGGTCTGTGGCACTAACACGTGAGACCCCCCCCCTCCGGACAGGCACTTCCATGTGCAGCCCTTCAACCTGCTCACCCAAGGGCCAGATCCACACTGGCGCTGGTGAAGCGTGCTGCCCTACCCTTGGCGTGACTTCTCAGAGCTCACGACGGTTGGAGCCGCTGAAGCTTCTAGCTAGGGGTAGGGGACTGACCCCACACAGCCTGTTTGCTGTTCCAGCAGGATGGATGTTTTAAACATTTCTCTACATCTCCACAAACGGCTGGTTTCAGGGCTGTGTGTGTTTGATGGCAAGGGGCTCAGTCTGAAATGCTATACAGGGCTGTTGAGTTGGGGCTAGCTACATTCCAAACGGCCTTTGCTTTGTGCCCTAAAGTACTGCCATATCTCAACAGTTTTACAGATGCAGACTTGACCGACCACGTGGGAGATCGCACACTGTGCCCACCCAAGATGAAGGGACGGGGAAGACCTCAGGAGTGTTGGTGGTCATCTGAGGAAGAGACAGGGTCAGCCACTTCTGACACAGGGTTGGATTCACAGTACTGGAAGTTACTTTTCAAACAGGGCTTGAAACAGCCAGGCCAGGGCTCTTCCAGGCGTGGGCTCCTCCTACCACCCCTTCGTGAGAGAGGGGTGTTCGAGGATCCAGCTGCAGAGGCCGAGCACCGTCACTACAGAGGATGCTTCGAGAACCTTCTCGTTCTGACGCTGCCATGATTGCTGAACATAAGACGCAGGTCAAACCTGTATCTGCGGGAAGGAAAAGAGGCTTTCTGTCAGCTGAAGGCTGGCTAGGCGTGGGGACTGTGAAGGCATACTACTCTGCCGCAGAAAAACGGGCAGGAGCCTCCAACACCAGGGGCCCGCCCGCAGGAGGCGGCTGTAATGTAAACGTGCTTTCTGAAGGTGAGAGTAATTCACACACTGTGAGGGAGAGAAAAGGTTTAATGGTGAAAAGCAGGAGGTTCTTTAAAAGGAAAAAGATCACACAGCCCTGGCTGGCCTGGATGTAGCTATGTAGACTAGGCTGTCCTCAAACCCACAGATCTGCTGCCTCGGTCTCCTGAGTGCTGGGGTTAAAGGTGAGAGGGTTAAGGGAGAGAGTTGAGTCCCAAAGGGTAAAGCATCCCAGACGGCGGTGCTGACCCCTCAGAGCCTGCAGGCTCAAGGTCTTTTGAGTGGCCAGGCGCTCGGGCAGGACTGTGTCCTAACCCTAGAGAGTCCTTCCCTCCTGCCTCAGGGTTTGGTTAGCTCCTCAAGGCCAGCCAAAGAAGATATGGTTAAAAGTATTAGGTCCAGTTGGATAGATAAATCACAAAGTTGGTGTGTGTGAGCTGACGTCTGCTTTTGCGAAGGACCTACTCAGACAGGGTGGAGGCCGGATGGAGAATGACTCATGAGCTTCACTACAATCACCTGTTTAAGACAGGTAAAACGACATTCTCTTTTAGTCTTTTGTACAGTTGCCTCGCTATTTCATTTTTTCATTTTAGCAAGGCATGGTGGTGCACCTCTAATCCCAGCAGCACCCAGGAGGCAGAGGAAGCCTGGCTAAGACGCACAGAGAGAGGCCTGTCTCAAAACAAAACCCTTCACGTGGGGGCCGTACGTCTGTCTTGACAGCCTGGGGTACGTTTCTGGCTGCGTGTGTGCTATGTAACAGTCTGCAGTCCACGCTCTCCCTAACGTGGAGAGCAGAGGAATCCAGTGTGAGGGCAGTGAGTCACACCTTGCTGTCACCTGGAAACCTCGCCTCCCTCACCCCCACGTCACCGCCTGTAAGGGATGAAATAACAGCAGGGTGCCTCTTGCTGCTGCAGCTCGGATGCATGTGCAGTGGCAGCCGGTGTCCTGCAGACAGGGTTCCAGAGTTCCAGGCACATGCGACCTTGCAGGTGACGACTGCCATTCAGTGAACGCACTGCAGTGGGGTCTACCTTAGCGTCTGAGCTCATTCCTGCTTTCATCTGTGTGTGTTTAATAATGCCTGGATTTCTAAGACATGAAGACATGCTCTTGGAAGGCCTAGGACCAGGGCAGCACTGGGCAGGGCCGACCTTGCGGACTCAGCAGCCACCGGCAGTGAGAGCCAAGTCCCAGCGTAACAAGCTGACGCAGCAAGAACACAGCGTTCCCTCAGAAGGCAGAAGAGTGACAGCTCAGAGCAGACAGCAGCCAATGGCCTCCCCCTGCCTCCAGAAAACCACGTGACCTCCAGGCATGGTAGCAAAGTGACTGGAGATGGGGGACACTTACCCAGGGTCAAAGACCCCTGGAGTGCGACAGGTTGGCCCGGAACAGGACTGGAGCATCATCAGCCGATAGTTCATCTTCCCCAGAAGCTCCGGGTCTATGGTTTTAGCAATGTTGGTGATTTGGTCTGGATCTGCAGTTATGTTATAGACTTCGACAAACACCTGGAGGCAGAGAGGAAGGAGGAAAGAAAAAAGCAAAGGTTAGACTGAGAAAATATTCTTCTTCTTTTTGTTTCTTGTTTTTTTGAGACAGGGCTTCTTTGTGTAACAGCTCTGGCTGTCCCGGAACTAGCTCTTTTAGACCAGGTTGGCCTCGAACTCAGAGATCCACCAGAGAGATCCGCCTGTCTCTGCCTCCCGAGTGCTGGGATTAAAGGCGTGCGCCACCGACACCCAGCAAGCCCATTATTTCTACATGGAAAGGGGCGAAATAGATGAAAAACCAAGGCCCGTCCATCATGTGGGCTAAGGCTTCAGAGTCCACAGTCGCACACGTCTGTGTTGGGGTCACTGCGCTGGATACACAACCCATGCTGACCCGAGGCCACTGCCCATCACACGTCTTCAGAAGCATTAACTTAAGACCCTGCAGAGGGTGAACACCTGACCTCGGTACCAAGACGGCATCACAGCTGCTGGTGTGGCGGGGGGGGGGCGCCGGAAGCCATACTCAGAATCCTGGGCATCACAGCTGCTGGTGTGGCGGGGGGGGGGGGGGGGGGCGCCGGAAGCCATACTCAGAATCCTGGGATTCACCAAGGATGGGTAAGTGCTCTCACATCTGGCACATGAACCATGATCTATTTTATTCTTATATTTATTTTGGGTTTTTCGGGAGACTGGGTTTCTCTGTAGCTTTGGAGCCTGTTCTGGAACCTGCTCTGTAGACCAGGCTGGTCTCAAACTCACAGATCTGCCTGCCTCTTCCTCGTGAGAGTGCTGGGATTAAAGACTTCCCAGCCGCTTCCTATTTTAAAAAGTCGCGGGGATGTTTCTTGGCTGTGGGGAAGGCTACTGTATTATTTCTAACGGTAGACTGCCTGTCGTCAGTACCTTCCCCTCTCCTCCACACTGTTACAACTCAGCGGTATCAAACATGAGCACAGGAAGGACCACTCAGCTGAGGGAAACCTGCTTTCCTGCTCAATGTGCTGCTGAGTGGGGAGACATAGTCCACAACTGAACACTTGTGAGCGCTGTTTTTCAGCCGTCAGCCGGTAGGAGGAGGGTGCTGAACACTCCCCCACCACACACACACACACTGCCAGGCCCAGTGTTCACAGGAGCCATGGTTCAGGTGACCACAGTCATCAGTGTGACGGTCCCACCCTCCCCCAAGGACGGCCCCTCTGGGCCTTTGTCCCCACCCTAGTAATAACAGATGGCATTGGCTTGTGCTGGCTGTGTGAGCACAGGGAGCTTCTGCGTGGTGGGAGACGCTGGCCAGCCTGCCGGAATGCCTGGTTCCTCTGCGCAGATGCTCTAGGCTGTACTTCTAGCCCCTGCTGAAAGGTCAACCGTGCATTTAAAGTGTGTGGGTGTGGAGGTGGCAAGCAGAGAAGTCAGAATGAAGCTGCCCGTGTGAGCCCGTCTCTGAACTGCAGGAGAGATGTCAGCCAGAGGACATCGTCCTGGGTCACCCTCCCTGGGACTGATCTTATGCCACCAGCCCCAAGTCCCCCCTTACCTCCTGGTCATCAAACTCGCAATACTGTAGGTTCCACAGTGACGACAGCGTCCTCACACAAGCATAGGTATTGTTGTAAGCATCTTCACACACACAGTCTGGGAAACATTGCTGGAGGAATATTTTACAAGTTAAACGAGGACTGCTCTGACATAGTAAAGTGCCTGTTGGCGACACAGGCACAGTCTGGCTGTGTAGCCAGGCCACCAGGGAGGGAACCAGATATCAGATGCGTCCCTCTCAAGGGAGGACCTGGGATCGTCACCCCGGGGTGAGAAGGAAAACAGAGCACCCTGCGATCTCAGCAGTACAAACCCCACGTTTCCCACAGGCTCTGCGAGTCCAGTTGGTTGTGTTGTGCGCCTTACACAGGCGTGTGCACCCACACTGGGCTGGGTCCTCCACTCAGAACACTGTAGTGTCAGGGGAACCAAGGCTCAATCCCCCATCGCGCCTGCCCGCTCGCCGCCGGTGTAAAGCACTGGTGCTGGCACATGGGCGAGCCCGTCTCTCCACCGGTCCCTCCGACGGTAGCGGGCAGGCAGAGTGGGAAGGTGCGCGACGCCAGCAGCGTCCCCAAGCGGACTGGCGCTGCTCCACGGCATGAGCGGCGCTGAGGAAGCTGCTACTCACAGACACTCCGGGACTCAAGGAAGGACAGGTCGGGTCGGTGACGTTCCGGCCTTCTCCTTGATACTCGACCAGCACGTCTGACCTCCAGGTTAAGTTACTGGCCCCTTTCTAGAAAGGAAAGCAGAGGGGGCTTCTGAGAGGCACGCACGGATAGGTAAAGCCCTTCCTTTGGGCCGCTCACTGTAACTAAAGACAAGGTCAGATGCTTAGACTGTCTCACGGTCCCTTTACAGGGCAGTAGGCGTGACACAGCGGCAGCTAAACAAGGACCGGCGGCGGCGGTGCGGCTGCGCCAACTCCAGGTCAGTGAGTGGCGTCCAGCTCAGAGGGCCTGAGAGACAGGAGTTGCTGGGCTCGGGTCTTGGAGTACAACCCACACATCACGTTTACTCTGTCGCACATCAGCTGTGTGGAGCGAGGTGTGGCATTTGAAACGCACACGCACACACGTGAGACAGGCGTACAAACACTGGAAGAGGAGCAAGTTCGAGACCCAAGCAGATGAAGTCAGATTAGCTGAGAAGAGAACGTGGGTCCAGGCGGGCCATGACCCCAGCTTCCACGAGGAGGAAGCTGGAACAGGTTGGGGTGGACAGGCAGGGCCTAACTGCCAGGAGCCCCCAAGCACGCAGCGCCAGCTACGTGGGAGGCTGAGGCCCGAGCACTGACTGAGCCCCGTTTGATCGCTGGGCAACACACCGAGACCCTCTCTCTGCAGAGCATCAGGAGATGGGCGGGAGGGACAGAGTGAGGCTGCGCTCCAGCGGTCAGCCAAGGACGGACTCTAGAGATGAACAGGCCGAAGGCAGGCCAGGCCAGAGGGGACCCTTCGCCAGGCTAATAATGCCTTCCTCAACAGCTGATGGCGGCTTGCTTGACACCCACCATCTCAAGCCCTAGGAGTATTTTCCCCAGTGCTAGTGAGTGAACCAGGGCCTTGCACACACTAGGCAAGCACCAGAGGGTGCCTAGGAAACTGTGAGCAGGGTGTGTGGATCCTTACTGGCCGGCCTTTGGCCTTTTCCTGTTCTTCTCTAGGTGTCAATCTAAGACCTCACAGGCCTGCAACTATCCTTTGATAAGTAGTTGCAAATATCTTTTTTCCCACCTGTTGGTCATCATAGGTTTGTTCTAGTGATTTTTTTTAATTGTCCCCCCCCCCCCCGGTTGAGGGGACAAGTGACCCAATCAATCTCTTCCTTTAGGAATACTTCCCACCACAAGGCTAGAGACAAGCCCTGTCCTCTGTCTCTGTCTACCCGGGGTTTATCTCAGTTCCGGCTCTTTCGGTTGTGGGCTTTCTACTCACCAGAATGGGCAGCAAGGACAACCCATCCATCTGTGTCTTATTCAGGTCGTAGCCGGCAAGGTCCAAGATCGTGGGGCCCAAGTCAATATTGGAGACCAGCATCTGCAGGGGTTTAGAAAACAGTCCGGGATACAGCCTGTCTTGTCTTCCTTTTCCATCTAATAGACCCTGAGCAACCCCCAGGAACAACGTCCCCCAGGAACAACGTCCCCCAGGAACACCGTGCCCTCGCTTTCTGATAGCCGGATGTCTCACCGCAGCTCCACACACTCAGCTACAACTTCAAGTACAAGGCCTATCTGGTGTACACAAACACGCACATCATCATTAGCTGACCATCACATTTGCTCACACAATTTGATCTCACACGCATTCCTACCATTTTAAAAAGATTTACGTATTTCTATTTTACATCTGTGTTTTTTGCCTGCACAGACGTAAATGTACCACATGCATGCAGTACTCCTGGAGGCCAGAAGAGGGCGTCAGATCCCCCCCCCCCCCCCGAAACTGGAGTTACAGATGGTTGTGAGTAGCTGGTGTGGATGCTGGGAACTGAATCCTGGTCCTCTGCAAGAGCAGCCACTGTTGTTAACGGCCAAGCCACTGTTCTAGCTCCACCAACACATTCTTTTTTTAGAAGGGGTTTTTCGATGTAGGCCTGGCTATTCCCCACCCACAAACGTTTTATTAAAGTCTCAAACCTGGATGTTTCTCACACCACGGAAGAGGGAAACTCATCATTTTACAAAGTCACAGTGTTACCTGCACGGTCCTCAGTTTGTTTTAGACAGGGTATGCCAGGTAGCCCAGGCTAGTCTTGAACGTGTGACTCTCCTGCTTAAGCCTCCTTGGCGCTGGGCTACAGGTGGGTACCACTTGCCTGGTTGTGCCCTAGGCCATGAAGTCTGCAGAAAACTTACTCTAATTGATCAACAACTTCCTTAAAGAGCACAGAACACCTGCTATAAGGAAAACATTCTAGGGCCCATGTGTTGGCCCAGAGGGTGAAGGTCACCAAGCCCACACCCTAAATTCAATCCCCAAGCTCTCCTGATGTGCATCATGCCACACAGTAAATATATACATACAAAAACTAAGCATTCTAGAAACTGGCGTAGAAGATCGATTTCCTTCTGTATATAATTCTCCTGAGGACAAAAACCATTATAGTCCCTTTTAAATACAGTGGGGGCTGCGCCAGTTTTAATGTAAAAAAATTGAAACTGTATGTGTGTGTAAGCCAGAGGACCTCAGGTATGTTTCTTCTAAGAGTTTCTCACTGGCCTGGGGCTTACTGTTTGGCTAGGCTGGCTAGCCTCTGGGCTCCCAGGCTTTTCCATGTTGATTCCGAGGAACAAACTCAGGCCCCTCGTGTCTACCTGCAGCTTAGCCTGCAGGGCGACCTCCAGGTCAGAGAGACTTTGTCTCAAAACCCAAGCTGAGAAGCCAGGCCCTGTGGTGCACGCCTTTAATCCCAGCACTTGGGAAGTGGAGACAGGGACCAGGCTGGTCTACAGAGCAGTTCTAGGACAGCCAGGGTCACACAGTGAGACACAATCACTGGAGCCGCTCCAAGGACACCAGCTGAGGCTGTCCCCTGGGCCTCGCACACAGTCCTCAGTGCGAGTGCACACTCGCAAACTAAGTCAATCAACTGTCATTTTTAATTTAAAACCAAACCAGGAGGGCCTGTATGAAAAGCAGAACACCGTCAAGGCACTGTTCACTGGGGCTCCCATTTCCTGCTAGCTGGAGAGCTATCAATGCGCAACCGGGCACTGAACCCATTAGCGTGTCCCCGCAGCTGCAGAGGATTACCATTCCACGGGGACAATTCAGTATGTCCCTGAAAAAGCTCAGCAGAGCTGTCCCCGGAGATTATCGACACCCACAAACCCTTCTTTCCAGACCCCCCCACCCTTGAACTGAGCAGCCTGGCTCCCAGCTGGCAAGTCTGGATAACTAAGGAAGAGATCACCACAGCAGGAGAAACAGAGTCCAGGAGGGAAAGGAGCAGCCTGTCCCATAGGTAATGGAGTCGTCAAAGCAGAGCAGAGGACGAACCAAACACTAAAGCAACAGAACCCTGGAACGAAAAGCACCACGAACACACACACGCGTTCTCAGGATACTTTCTTCCCACATATATGCAATTACTGTGTTTCTCTAAACAGGACAGGCAGGGTTTTTGCCTGTGAAGCAGATGGTTTCAAAACGTGCACACTGTGTGGGGAACTTAGAGGCGAGCAGAAAATTCTCCCCTTCCCTAACTCCTGTCCTATGACCACCTGACAGATGTGCTCTCGGGACACAGTCAGGGTTCAGACACCGAAGCTCTGATATTAAACACCTCGTAGGGCTGGCTAAGGCAAGTCATACCTCCCCGCAGAAGGTTCCAAGGGTCCATCTGGCAAGAGCATGGAGCACCACCAAACCTGCCCTTAGCTTCCCTGTCTAGGAAGATGTCAGGGTACCACTCAGGGACAGTCGAACAGGGGAAGTGGCTGGAGAGACAGCTCAATGGGTAACAGCACGTGGTGCTCTTCCAGTGAATTCACTGGGGAACTCACGGGGTGGCTCACAACACTGTCCCAATCTGAGGAGCTGGGAGAACGAGGCTTTGTCAGAGCATTAGAGCTAATAGTGGCCGCCAGACTTCCAATCACATCTACTTCCCCTGGGCCGGGCCGGCTCAGAAGTCATCCCTGGTGGGTATGCAGCCTGACCTCCGCCCCAGCCCTGCAAGGTAGAGACAGGATTTCCAGAGCATGCTGGGTAGCAAAACTTACTTTGTCAGTGGGGTCTGTTTTTGACTGACACCCTGCCTTAATAAATATGGTGCGAGAGCAATCAAGAAAATGGTAGAAGATTGATCAAGGATGATTACTGATACCACCCTTGGGCCTCTAGATGCATGCATGTGCAAGATATACACCGCATGTATCGCCATACGTGAAAGTGCACACACACAATCACACACACACACACACAGAGAGAGACAGAGAGACAGAGAGAGAGACAGAGAGAGAGAGAGAGAGAGAGAGAGAGAGAGAGAGAGAGAGAGAGAGAAACTGGAAAGGAAACCCCATACTCAGATGGTGACCCTCATGAGAGTCTAGTGCCGGAAGTAAATTTTGAAATGAAGCCGTGACACATACATGTGACACAAACGTGTGGCAGTGGGAACACACACAGAGGGCAGTGGACAAGAGGAGAAAAAAGTCACTCTAAGGTTCACAAAGGCGGAGGAGCACACACCGGCCACCTTCCTCTCCAGGAGTATTGCTGGTTTCTCGAGGCAAGTGCCACCATACACGGGACCAGCTGCGGTCGGACACCTACCTTGCTTGTCTGGTTTGGCTTGATCCCAGGCCCTCGAACCAACAGTGGGACTTTGATGTCAAACTCATACAGCTGTCTCTTGTCTATTGGCAAAGAGAACTGCCCTGAAACAAGAGGCACAAAGTCAGTGTACTGCCAGGACAGGTGTGCAACACAGCCAACATCTGGGGCACTATGCCAGGACAGGTGTGCAACACAGCCAACATCTGGGGCACCATTGCCAGGACAGGTGTGCAACACAGCCAACATCTGGGGCACCATTGCCAGGACAGGTGTGCAACACAGCCAACATCTGGGGCACCATTGCCAGGACAGGTGTGCAACACAGCCAACATCTGGGGCACCATTGCCAGGACAGGTGTGCAACACAGCCAACATCTGGGCCACTGAAAAGCCACAGAGATGTTGCTGTAAGACTTTTTATTTATGTGTTGTGTGTGTATGCGTGGATCTGTATCAATGTATGTCACATGTGTGCATGCCCTCGAAGGCTAGAAGGAGAGCTGGAGTTACAGGTCACCTGACATGGGTACTGGGAACTGAACTCGGGTCCTCTGGAAGTACTCTCCTTAACCACTGAGCCATTTCTCCAGCCTCTTAATTCCTGGTTTTATAACAGAAACCTTAAACTTGCCTGGGTTTCTTTTTACCACAAGACGGGGGGGGGGGGATTGAGTTTACCTTCTCCAGATAAGTAACTAAACAGGACAAACGGACACAAGTAATGTCTGGGAAGGGACGAGAGATATATATACATAAGCATGTATGCACATGTGATCTGATCCCAGGTGGCTGACGTCACTCCAAACGCTGCCACATAAAGAGAGGAACATACTCCGTCCCCCTGATGCTCTGCAGTCAAGGCCACGAAAGAGAAAGGCTTCCTGAGGGGTTCCACGGACACGATGGGGACAGAAAGAGGACGTCGGCAGAGCTCGGTATGAGGAAGTTTCAGCAACGGCTTTCAAAGGGAATCTGGGTGACAGGCTCAGAGCAATGGGGCAGGTTAGATCAGCTGGCCATCCATCCACACTCGTGTCTCACAAACTTGGTGAGACGGGAAGTATACCACAGCGTCACCGGGGTGGGGTGGCCTCCCTGGTCTGAAGACACTGATGTGTGTCAGGTCACCAGATCTCAGACCAACCTACAGGAAACTGAGTGGAGATGAACAAGCAAGGCCTCACCAGATGGTCAACTGGCCAAATCCAGAATAAAACCTGTTCTCCAGGACAAAAGAAGTGCTCTTCTCAGTAAGTCAGCAGCCACCGAGACTTAGAGGAGCTCAGAACTCAAGGTCACATGTGGACTTATGTGTTTGATAAATTAGATGCGCGTGGAAACCATCTGTGGATTCACAAGTGCCTGGGAGTTGCTTCAAAACCTTTCGAAAACAGGTGGATGCCAAGGTACAACATCATCCCAACACTCAGAGGCCAAGCAGGTGAATCAGAGGCTAAGGTTGACTTGAGAGACGAAGTGAGACCCATCACAAACTCAAGGGCTGGGGTTGTAGCTCGGTGGCAGAAGCCCACCTATCTGTGCTATGGTCTGATCAGACCCCTGCCCCTCACCAACCCACACAGAGAACCATCCGCAGCTGGAAGGCTGACCAGGAAGATGGGAAGGCAGGGTCTGCGCTGACCACACTGGCCTCAAGCTCCTAGATCAAGCAATCCGGCCTTAGCCTTCTCAGTAATACAATAAGCTCACATCATCACATCCAGCCACACTAGCTTCTTCTTTGCATGATAAGGAACTCTCACAATAATATATTAAATGCTGAGTCAATGTGCACAAATGAAAGCAAGACTATTACTAACTCAAGAGGAAACACAGAAAGACGAAAACCCTTGTCCAAGTTGGGAGGGTACAAGTCAAGGGCATGGAGTTTGCTCAGACTGCAGTTTTCAAAAACCATAAATACTGCTTCCCCTCTCCCACATTACACGATTTGGTAATAAGGTTGTGCTTGTGGGACAATGTTTTGCTTCCCACCTACAACACCACATTCTCCAAGTCTCACTTATCCTACACATGAGCTCTTCTCTTCTTCCATGGCCGTCTCTAATATGGTAAATGCTTTCTCTGCTCCTGCCCGAGACCAGGCAGCTCAGCATTGGAAATAGCGAGTAGTGAACCTGGCTTCCCTGGAGGAAATGCCCTCTCACTGAGGCGTCTGAGGACAAGAGCCTCCTCGTGGCGAGTCCACAGCTGTGAAGCCCTGAACTCCCACCACACGGGTGACAGAGCGGATGTGCTCTCACGGTGGGCAGCGCTGGCCCGCCACTCACCTGTGTGGTAGCCGTTGTCTGAGGTGTAGAAGATGTACGTGTTGTCCAGCTCGCCGGTACCATCCAATCTCTTGACCAGCTTCTCCACAAGGTCGTCAACCGAGAGCAGGGTTTGCCACCTGGACACCAGCGCAGGGTGTAAGCAGGACTTCAGGGCAATGGCTACACAAAAACACTCATCCCTCCCGCTAAAGCAAGCACCAACTGCCCAACCTGTCCCCCAGACTGCCATCGCAAAGATAGATTAGAAAATTCCAGAACACAGCGATTACTTCATTTCAAATCTGTCTCCAAAGAAATAAATCAGCCTTTTAACAATGAGCTAACTTTATTGTTTTGCTGTATGGATAGAGCTATTCAGAAAGGGCAGTTGTTAATTCAGTATAGACTACTGCAGACTGGTTTAAATAAGTCTGAATTACACTACTCTTTAACAGTCCAAACACTAGCCATTGGCCTACAGGCAAAAGGTCAAAGCTTGTCTACTGCCTGTTTTTATAAAATCTTACTGACACGCAGCAACATCTTCATATTGCCTATAGCTGCCTTGTGCTGGGACACATGGCCCGCAAGCTTACAACATTTGCTATTATTACTATCATCTGGTCCAACGAAAAATGTTCACCCACCTCTGGTCCAAATTCAATACACTCTAAGAGAAAGTAGTGGAGTTTTAAAAATTGGCCTAGTGCATCTCGCAAATTCCAATCACCAAAGGTAAACATTCTCCTCAAGGTTTGGGCTGATTTCTATGTAACCCTTTCTTTAAGCCTGGGGAAAAAGATTTTCTAGCAAATAGTTCAAGTTTGTCATTCTTTACCAAGTCTCAGAGATGGACATTTAAATCAGTCTGGAGATCCTCATGCATGTGAGGGTAAAGGCATGCCGGCCGCTTGGGGAGGGCAGTGCCTCAAAGCTATCCACACTGAGAACAGAGCGGGTGTTTACCTCCTTCTGAACGCATCATCTAAGAACTGGATGGAAGAGTTCGTCATTGGAGTCTTGGCTTGCCTAATCAGCCAGTGCTTGTTCTAAAATTCAGAAGAAACCAATGTTAACACCAAGCCACCAAACTACTTAGGACAGTGGTTCTCGACCTGTGGGTCACGACCCCTCTGCAGGTCACAGATCAGCCGTCCTGCGTATCAGATATTACACTGCGATTTATCACAGTAGCAAAATTACAGTTATGAAGTAGCAACGGAAATAATGTTACGGCTGGGGGTCAGCACAAGAAGAGGGACTATGTTAATGGGTCGTAGGAAGGTTGAGCATCACTGGTCTAAAGCTGCTGAAGCCACATGGGGCCGTCTCTTCTTCCCAGGGTCCTACAAGCAACAGCTTTGCAGATGGACAGATGAACGCCATTACTCTAGCAGCCTCCCACTGGTGAACACTGATGCTCTGTTGGTGGCAGCAGTGATTAGAGACGCTAGTGAGCGGCACAGGGAAGCCGCCAACTAAAGTGACGTTCAGTTGGTAACTCTGACCCTGTCAACTATGGCTACAAATGGGCAGGTACTAGTTTACCTCTCTCTAAGTTGTGCTCTAAGTAGGTCCCCGCTTTCCACGGACGTGTCAACCCAAGAGACTGACATCCCTGGGAAAAACCCTGCCACGTGGGTTTAAAACCTCACGCTCTACACACACAGAATTAGCAGGAGGGCATGCAAGCGCGGGTCCCAGCAGCCTACACAGGGCGGCTGACAACTGCCTGTAACTCTGGTTCTAGGGGATCTGGGCCCTCTTCTGGTCCCCTAGAGTACTGCACCCACAGTGTAAACCGGCACAGACACACAAACACATGCATACACACTTAAAAATAAAAACGAAATGGTGAAAAATAACACAAGCCCCTTTTTATGGACACAAAAGACACATTTTAAGTAACAAAAATGTACCCATATGATGGGAGATGTCATTCTATATATGTTTCTCATACTGGTTAATAATAAAGCACTGTTGGCCAATAGGAAAGGAAGATAGGAGGGGCTAGGAGACAAGGAGGAGAGAGGAAGTAGTAAGGAGAAGTCAACATGGAGAGCCTGGAGAGAACAGAACCGCCATTCCTCCGCTCTCGGTAAGACCATGTGGAAATACATAGACATGGGTTAATAATTAAGACAGAGGTAGCTGATAAGAAACTAGTAACTGGCCAACACCCATATGCCCGGGATTCTTCATGTACTCACAAGGCTCTAAGCGACTACTTTCCCAACTACACTCCCCTTGTGGGAGGCTCACACTAGACCACAGGTGACTGGAAAGTCCTGCGGAGGCGACGTACTAACCCAAGGCTTTCGATCTTACTGCTGCTCCCAGTAACTTTAGTCACCCTTTCTGGAACACAGACTGAGACAAGTCTGTGGTGTGGGGGAGTAAGCCAGACACTTCTATTTTAACCATTACAGTAATCAAAGGCCGGAGGCCTCCCCGAGAGAGTGACAGAAGGTAGCACCTTGCTCATCTCACAGACGCTCCTGGCCCCAACTTCCGCTCTGACGTCAAGACTCACTCTGTACCGTTAGAAGTGGCGGGACTTCTAAGCAAGACTCGGGCAGCAGCGACCAGCTTACATATAACTCACCAACTAAAGCATACTCTGAGGACACAAGCATGGTGGCACACACCTTTAACCCCAGCAATTACGCAGCAGAAGCATGAGGGTCACTGGGTTTGAGGCCAGCCTGGCCTGCACAGAGACTGTCTCACAATACAAACCATCCGAGGAATACAGTTTGGGAGTAGTGAATAGTGTTGGGAATGTTTCTGTTGCTAAGAAACGGCGCTTATGTCTGAGGGACAAAGACTCTTCACATTTGAACTTGACATTTCAGGGGCCTTGATGGGATTTGTCCCGGAGTCTGGGGCACTCGGTACCCGGGTAGGAAAATAGAGGAGAAGGAAGCATTTATGAGGGAAAACTTAAGAGACAGGCGCCGTTAACTGGGGAGGCAGGGGCTGGTTGTGTTTAATCCGCAGCCTGTCACCTCATCCCCATCCCCCGCACCCCTGCACTGTGCCTGCCGCCACCTCCCTCCTTCTCATGCCTGGGGCCACCAAGGCTGCTGCCAGTGTAGATGTCCCCAGAGACACGCCTAGCTACGGAGAGAGGAGACGGGAGACGTGCCTATAACCATTCAGGTGGTGTCTTCACCATTCCTGGGATTCTCTTGTAGCTGCTCTCTGGATGTGTGGCAGAGCGTTCATGTCTGTAACCCTGAACTCACTGTACTGGGGACAAGTCCTGCCGGCTGACCCTTCGAGTGCGGCCTACGTCACGGGTTAGGGGAACCTACCGTTCCATGGATGTTGAAGTTCTTGTTTCTCGGTGCGAAGACATTCTGGAACGCCTTCTGGTACTGAGGTGCGGCTGTCCAGGGCGAGTGCGGCGCCGGAGTGGAGATCATCATGAAGAAGGGCTCAGAGTTGGACTTGTAATCCAGGAAGTCCAGGGAGAGGTTGGCCTGACACACACATGGCGCGAGTTGTCATTTACCCGGCTAGCAAGTGTCATCCAATAGGGACGTTTCTCTCGGTAGACAGAGCGCACTCAGGGTCAGTGTGGCTACGAGTCTCTAACGGATCTCACCTCCCGCCGTGTGCAGCAGGCCGCAGGACTAACGCATTTGGTGTGCAGTGCCACCAAGGCAACTGAGGCCTTAACTTCACGAGCCCTCCAGGCTGTTAAGCTCCCCAAGCAGTTAGAAATAGTGAATTGTGCCTTTTAGCGTTAGCTTGTAACGGCGAGGCTTAGACTACAGATATCTGATGTCTTAAAGAAAAGCGAAGAGGGCCAGCGAGAGGGCTCAGCAGGTGAAGGCGCTTGCTGCCAAGCTCATGAGCTGCGTCCTCCCCCACCTTCTGGTGGGAGGACGGAACCGATCCCACGCTCTCCAATCATTTCATCCCAGCCCCTCCGTGCCCTCACTTCTCCCCAGCACCAACTCTAGAGAGGGTGTGTCTTAATTGTTTCCCGCCCCTAGCTCTACAGCATCCCGTGGTTTCTTTCACAGCTCACCCCTGCTCAGCCGAGGTGCTCCCACTGCCTCCCCCTCACGGCTCACTCCCCCTGCTCAGCCGAGGTGCTCCCACTCCCCCTCCCTCCTCACGGCTCACTCCCCCTGCTCAGCCGAGGTGCTCCCACTGCCTCCCCCTCACGGCTCACTCCCCCTGCACAGCCGAGGTGCTCCCACTCCCCCTCCCTCATCACGGCTCACTCCCCCTGCTCAGCCGAGGTGCTCCCACTGCCCCCTCCCCCTCACGGCTCACTCCCCCCTGCTCAGCCGAGGTGCTCCCACTGCCCCCTCCCCCTCACGGCTCACTCCCCCTGCTCAGCCGAGGTGCTCCCACTGTCCCCTCCCCCTCCCTCGTCTGTACTGGTCTCTAACGCTCTTCAGGTCTCTGCTCAAAAGCTACCCAAGTCGCCCTTTACCTTTCTTGCCTGTCTAAGCTATCAGCGTCTCATGAAGAAATGAATGATCAGCCCTAAGGAAGCAACAGATGTGTGTGTGTGTGTGTGTGTGTGTGTGTGTGTGTGTGTGTGTGCATGACCACGCCCCCACGGCACGTGTGAGATTTCTGGCTGTGAAGAGGCTGCCCTCCAGGGCACGGGGCTCTGCTCACCTATGGGGAACCACGCTGCACTACGTGCTAGACAGGTAAATAATAAATACTCCGCGGAAGGTTTCCATGAAAGATGTCAGACAGGACAGCTCTCCCTGACTGTGACTGCACGAACGCAGCCTCGCCCACAGAGGCCTTGAAGGACATGAGGAGGCTGTGAGGCAGCCAGCAGTCGCAGAGAGGCGCTCACTGCTGGGCTGCAAGAACGTGAGGCTCGAGGCTAGCTGATAGACGAGGAAAACCGGTTTCTGACCAGCTAGAACTAGTTCTGGCAGATACACCAAGTCATTATTCTGCACTTGTGCTTGCCGACATCAGTCGGAGCAAACGCTGCCTCAGTCGAGTGTGGGGGGGGAGGCCACAGTGCCCGGGCTGCTGAGCCGGAGAACTCACCAGAACATCGGTCAGGTAGTCCACGCTGTAGTTCTCCCCGTGCTGCCGTGCCTTCCCGTTGATAGAGAGGGTGTAGTTATAGTACTTAGAGTTCTTCTCCTACAGGGAGGAGGGAGGGAGGGAGGCGCGCGATGAGGCGGGCGAGAAATCCAAGCCGTGAGCCCTGCTGGGCACACTGCACTGTTTAAACGGCAAACAGAGGGAGGCCAATACCCATGTCAGCGCGGAACTGGCACTGGGGGCACTGGGGGCGTTACCAGAGACAGCCGAGCTTTATTACATGGCTCAGGCCACTAATGGGAGGAAATCACCGGAAACGGAGTGACTCACCGGTCAACAGACCTTTGAGGAGGTAAAATTTCCCATGCAACAAGTCATGGCCGTGCAGACCCAGTCAGGAGCACGCATACATTTCTGTCTCGGGGCCGTGACTAGCTGCCATAACTGTAGTAGTCACTCACCAAGGCATACCAGTAACTCCAGCCCAGAGGGACATGCTCCAGTCCTCCTGCATCTGGGGCTCCGTACTGAAAAGATAGCAGGGCAGGATGTTAGAACTCCTCAGACACCACCGGACCAGAAACAGGCGACCGGGAACGCCTTTCAGCTGGGGCCTGAAACATAACAGGCACACAAGTCCCCCAAACACACAGACTAGGTAAGGGACTCCCGAACCCGAGCCATTCCTTCAGCGGGAATAACTTCGGTCACTGCTAGATCCGGCCTGCCAGCTGTTTCCGGTGACCAGCGTGCCACTCAACCACTTAAACGTACAAAGCTGACGAAACGAAGCCACCCGTGAGGCGGAGTTACCCACGCCTCGGGCTTCAATGCCGAGGGTTTCATCTGGGCACAGCCGGGCACGCACACTCATGTGCGCCCACGCACGGCTGCCTGTATGCTATGACGGCACCGTAACGGCTCATGCTATGACGTGTGTGGCTTACGACGTCTAACATTCACCGTCTGGTGCTGCGTGGGACCTGTTCCAGGGACTAGTGCCGAGCTACGGCTGAACAGCCTAAATGACACTTAGCTGGCAACAGCCAAGGAAACGGGACCACGGACTGACTATTCCTTCAGTTGTCCTGACGTGATGATGGGTCTTACAGAACACTGCTCCCTATCTAAATGCAGCTTAGTGCTGCCCGTTAAAGTCAGGATGGAGCCTATGAGACCAGACTCTGTAGTAAGAGGTTCCCGTCACTGCGCACATCAAATGACGGCAACCCCAGAGTGTCTTTCAAACTGACTCATCCTCCTCCAAGCACACAGGCCGCAGATCCCCTCAATGACAGGGAGGGAGGGAAGGCACAGAAAACTCAGATCAGACACAAAGACCCCCGGCTACTGCAGGAAACAGATGTGAGAAAATGCACACTGACCCTCCGCCCCGCACCCCAGTTTAGCCATCTCCAGACGGAACCCAAATACTCTAGCACGCCATCTTCTTTAAGCAGAGACGCTAAGAAGACGGAGACCAAGGGGGTGGTCTTGGACCATGAGGTGACAGGCCACAGTGAGGCACCACCCATCGGGGCCCACGAGACGCCGGCCTTTCTTTTCGTCTGTTCTCACACCAAGGTCGAATTGTGCTAATTCAGAAATGATTTCAAGAACCCTGGGCAGAGTCTCGGAACAGAAGGTCCCGCACGATGCTGAGGAAGAGGAAATGGGGACCGTGACAGCCACATGACCAGAGTCCCTGGTGAAAACCGGGAAGCTGGGGCAGATGAAAGCCGGTGGGGGCTGAGTAGAAGGGAAGTAACTACAGAGCCCAAGCAGAGAACGTGGGCAGGTCAGCAAAAAGCTGCAAACAGCCGAAGCCTTTAATACAGTGGCTTGCAGTGACGCCAGTGAGAAAAACAATTATCAGGAATTATATTGATTCACATTTTAACTCCCACTGTAAGAAACTAAAAGAGGGCTGGAGAGATGGCTCAGAGGCACTGGCTGCTCTTGCAGAGGTCCTGAGTTCAATTCCCAGCACTTACATGGTGGCTCACAACCATCTGTAATGAGATCTGGCGCCCTCTTGTGGCGCACAGGCAGACATGCAGGCAGAACACTGTATACATAATAAGTAAAATCAGAGAGAGAAAGAGAGAGAAGAAAAGATCATTCAACATACCTCATTTAAATACTTCCCAGCAAAAAAGGTTTGGTAGCCGCACGCCGACCTGAGGATGGCTGGGAACGTGCTTGGCTCTTGGATCTTCTGCCAGGCCTGGCTGCTACAGTTCCCCTGCAGAGTGTTGTTCACCACGCGATGGTTGTGTGGGTACTTTCCAGTCAGGATGCTGGCCCTGCTGGGGCAGCAAAGAGCACTGGGCACGTACTGCAGGGGGCGGAGCAAAGGACCGGGTTACGCCAGAGGGGACTCACACAGGGGACAGGAAGACACTTAACACACCGCAGGCATGCACACACACACACACACACACGCACACACACACGCACGCACGCACGCACGCACGCCACGCATGCACGCACGCACGCCACGCACGCCAGAGCTGCTTAAAAGTCACTCAGCACAAACAGCAGAGTGCTCATCCAAAAAAGAAAAAGTCAGAAACAGAGTGCCACCTGAGAAAAGGGGACCAGGACAGGTGGGAGAGATGGGGGGGGTACATGGGACACATGAAAGCAGAAGGAAGGACACTGGGGAGGGAGGCAAGAAGGGGGGACTGGAAGACGGGGAGAGGACACAGAAGCAAAGGTACAATCACACCACACATACAGATACAGATACACACACAGATATCACAGACACACACACAGACACACACAGATATCACAGACACACACCACACACACACACACACACACACATACACACACACAGATATCACAGACACACACAGACACACACACAGATATCACAGACACACACCACACACACACATACACACACAGATATCACAGACACACACACAGAAATCACAGACACACACAGATACCACACAGACACACACAGAGACACACAGATACACACACACACATACAGATACACACACAAATATCACAGACACACACACACATACAGATACACACACAGATATCACAGACACACACACACAGAAATCACAGACACACACACCACACAGATATCACACATACACACAGACACCACACACAGGTATCACAGACACATACACATACACACACACACACACACCACACACAGATATCACAGACACACACACACACAGATATCACACACACCACACAGATATCACAGACACACACACACAGATACACACACACCACACACACAAACACAGACACACACACCACACAGATACACACAGACACACCACACAAACACACACACACACACACGAGAAAATGCCATAATCAAACTTCTGTATGCTAACATAAAAACTGATCATCTGAAATTCATGCCAGCATTATTGTCCCCTTTAAGGGGGGACTTAAAGTACTTAATTTGTCCTTTCAAGTTGGATTCAGACTCTTGGTGCCAGGACACAGAGTATCTACCCTGAGTGTGTGCCCCTGACTAGCCCTCCAGCTCTGACTGGCATTGTAAAATACTCATGAGGGTGAGTGTCCCCACATGAACACTCACTGTTAACATGTTTCAATCGGATGTGTCTGGTCTAAGTTTTTTCAAGTTTTTGCCTTAGAAAGATTTTAGTACCTGTACATGTGTGCTCATGAGTATCTGTCGTTTGTGTGTGCGTGCACATACGGAGTCCAGGAGATGTGTCAGGTTCTTTGCAGTGGGGACACGGGCTGGCTATATGGTTGAGGGGCCTACATTCCAGGCCTCAGGACTGTGCAGCAAGCAGCTGTAACTGCAGGACCTCCTCTCCAGTCCCCTTCCGTCACTTTACACCGACCACTCTCCTCTCCTGCCCCAGCTAGCCTTAACTGTCACTCTGACCCAGCCTAGAGTCACCCAAAAGGGGCCACAACCAGGAACTGTCCAGATCAGTGAATGCCCTGATCGCTAATCCATACAGCAGGGACCTTCCCATGTGGGTGATACATTCCCCGGGCAGCTGGCACTGGGTGGTGTAAGAAAGCTAGACAAGTTTTCCCAGCGCTCGGGAGTCCAGGACCAGCCTGGTCTACAGGAGGAGTCGAGTCCCAGGGCAGCCAGAGCCAGCAAGGCCAGCAAGTGGCCCTCCTCAAAGGTTCCTGTTTTAAGTTCCTGCCTGGCCTCAGTTATGAACCGGGAGGAAGTCACATCAGACCCTCCTGCCCCTGAGCTGCTGTTGGCTGGAGTACCCTACCACAGCAGAAAAGATACTAGGACGTTAACCTTTGACCTCCTACGCTCGGTACTGCACTATTAGTGAATTTTCCTATTTCATGTTCATGCTGGCTCAGGCAATCCCTGTGTTTAAAAACACTGCCCTTATGGGTTTGATCTCTGGTACTGACAAAACCCAACCAACTTTGGACTTGGGTGTGTAGTCAGTGGCTGAGTATGTGTAAGCACACCTCAGGCCCTGGTATCAATCCCCAACACCAAACAAAAACACTATCTTGACTGTTCTTACCTAATCATTCTAGGTAATTACAATCATTTAGTTACATCTTCAAAAACGTCTTGAGACTTTAATTAGAAATGTATTTTATAATTGTGTCTTCACATCATAGAAAATGATATACCTAGCAACATATCAAACCAATTTCCCCCCAAAATGTACTGTAACTTTATTTATATCGTTTGTTTTGTTTTAAGATAGGGTCCTGGCTGTCCTATTTGCCTACCCCTGCTTCCTGAGTGCTAGGATTAAAGGTTGTGCCCATGCCTGGGTTGTTTGTATAAACCTTAACCTTTGCCGTAAGCTACCACCTGTTAACACTGCTGTTATGAGGAATGGAACTTTTCTTGTCCCCTGAAAAAGCCTCACTATGTAACCTGGGCTGACCTGGAACTCCAAACTCAGATCCGCCCGCCTCTGCCTCCCGAGTGCTGGGATCAAAGTTACACACCGCCACCCTGGGCTCTACTTTAAGTTGTTACATGGACAAATCTAAAAGAATGGGAATCCTTTCCCCCACAGTTTTATCCACTTCTGAAGACCGATATTAACGATAGTCCCGAACCGGAAATGACCAGTAGCAAAGCCTTGAGTATGCCGAGTATGCTCACTTTTAGGAAGGTTGCTGTCTGCCACACACCTGCTGCGATGAAATCTACTTTTCCTCCCTTCAATAACCATCCCTCCGCAGACAACACACCCTAAATCATGTCCAACTCACCGTGATCCTACGCTGACGTGCACATCACATGTGCCTATTCATGTAACCATGACGACCCTGAGGCGGACATGACTGACTGCTTCAAATGGGGAAATCAAAAACCCAAACACAGGCAAACAGATAAGAAAATACTCAATTAGGCGACCTGTCCACAGAGTCTGTGCTTAAGCCCAGGCTCTACGCTGTGAGGCTGCTGTTAGTGAGTTTCTAGCAGGAAGTAACCATGCCGTCACTTCCACAGTTTCCTGTAAGTCCTTTGAATGTGAATACTTAGATTTATGTGAGGTCTCTGACCCCACATGTGTTGTATGTATGTTTTCAGCATCCTTGCTTATGTCAGAGTCAGCCAGCAGAGCTCATGGATCTTTTACTCTGTAACAGTTTACATAGCAAAGATGTTCTTGGTTTATGCAATCTAGTTTCGACCCTCAAACTGCAAGGTTCTCAATAAAATTCCCTAGTTATGTAACAGACTGTGACATGATACCCGTAGTTAGTTGTGTGTGTGGGTGCATTCCTTCAATCCCAGCACTTGGGAGGCAGAGGCAGGCGGATCTCTATGAGTTCAAGACCAGCCTGGCCTACAGAGTGAGTTCCAGGACAGCCAGGGCTACGTAGTGGGCTATCTCATGGCAAACAACCCATCCCCCAAACAAACTAGAAATTCATTTACCATTCCAACTAAAAGAACTAATAAAAGTCCTCACACTAGGTATTTCATTGGAAAACAAAACCAAACCCTCCCGCATTTGTTCCACAGTAGAATCCCAGCACAAGCGTTTCTTCCTCGAGTGCCCTATCAGGTCTGAGGACGTCACACCAGCTTGTAAACTTACAGCGTTAGAGAACGCCATCCCCTTCTCTCCAATGAGGGCCTTGGTCTTCTTCAGCGGTGTCTACAAAGCAAACAAGTCCTGTTAAACCGTGCTTGACAGAATACATAAACCGATGCTTGTGTTTTGTCACATCTTAGATTCACGTCACGTGTGTCTGTGTATCACATGCACTCATGCAATGGCGCAGAGGCCAGAAGAGAGTACCGGACCCTCTGGAAACGGACGCATAGACAGCTGTTAGTGGCTGTGTGGGTGCTGGGAGCCAAATCTGGGTCCCCTGCAAGAGCAACGAGTGCATGTGTGAAACCTTCGGCCATCTCTTCAGCCCCTTTCGTTTTATCTTAGTCACATCTCCAGAGGGTCAGCTCCGACACAAGCCAATGGAGCAATGGTTCTGCAGACGGACCGAACAGGCTGGGCTACGGTCCGGTGAACCCTGGGCAAGCAGGAAGGAGAGTACACAGCTCACTGTGTGCGCCATCCACACTGACTGCAGGTAACAAAATTCACAACGCTTTCTTGCTATTGCCTACAACCCCAAGGTATGAAATTGTCTGAAAGGGCGCCTCCCATCAATCTAAGCGAGATAACACTTAGACGGAATGTCGAAATGTCTGGAAACCAGAAAAGGTCTCGCAGCTCACAGACCCTTCCAAGCTACACACTTAATGATGCGAACCCAGCAGGGTAGGGTTCTACTGACTAGTGCCTCGCAGCAGCACCTCAGTTAGACGATAACTCATGTACAGAGGCGCACACAGACCGTGTCAACCGTGAGCACTCTTATTTCAGGGCCAGGGATTGAACCCAGGCAAGCCCTCTCCCACTGAGCTACACCTCCAATCCTATTACTCCACTTACAGGAATTCTACCATTTTTAATAAGTACAGGGAAAGTTAACTACATCCTAGAGGACAGAGTGCGGTTATTTAACTATTGACAAAGGTATACTGATCTTATTCACTTTCTAGGCATCAAAACCCACACTGACAGTGGCTCTTGAGGAGGTCCATGTGATTCTGAATCCATCTGAAACCCAACAACAGACTAAATACAATCTTAAGTCCACCTGTCACAGTGATCATTTCAAGATGGGGCTTCCAAATACATACCTAAGCTAACAAAAGATTCAGTTCCAACACTCTGTAACTTTCCCTGCTGATTTATAAGCCCAAGCTGCCTGGAGTCTCCAAAGGGCAACTTCACATTCGTTAAAGTCAAGCTTTGACGATGCCAGGAGTAGATCTCAACCTGTGGGTCGTGTCCCCTTTGGGGATTGAATAACAGATATTCTGAATATCAGATATTTACATTACAACTCACAACAGTAGCAAAATTACAGTTATGAAGCAGTAAAGTAAATACACTTATGGTTGGGGGGGGGGTAACCACAACATGAGGAACTATAGTAAAAGGTCGTGGCATTAGGAAGGTTGAGAACCACTGACCTGGAGAAAAATCCAGAAGGGGGGGGGGATGGCTATCAAACTGTCTGATAAACACGCAAAACTACTAGACAATTAGATTCACAGGGAGACATAATGTGTGATAACACATTTGCTAATTACATTACGTGCCACACACTGATCTAGGTAGGCAAAGGTCGGTAGGAAAAAAGTTCTAGCCCTTTCCATACCACTTTAGGATCTGAACAACTAAAGGTAACCAAGCAGGTCCGGATGACAGAGCTGGTGTCGAGAAAGCAGGGCCCAACTTCAGATGAGCAACCAGGAAGGCCTTAAAGGGCGGAACCTTGTGAGGGCTCCACAGCAAGGCTAAGTGAAGCCACTCATGCACCCAGGGGCAGCTTACAGGCTGAGCCACGCAAACAGCCCAAGCGAGAAAATAGGAAGAAAGCTCAAGAGATAAGCGTGGCCAGACCAGGTGGCCACACAGGGCTTCATTGGAATTTCCACTCAGAAGCTTACATTAACAATCTTTGTGTGGCCGAACAAGTCCCAAGCAAGAGACTGAACTATACTGAAAATACCTGTCCATGCTAATCCCAAGTGACAGTGGCTGGTCAGGCGGAAACCATGTGACGGTATTAAGGAATAGCACTTTTAGTCCCATGAGCAGAGGTGTAACTTGTCATCCTGAGCAAATTCCCTTTCATAAACACCAAAGGCTAGTTGACTTTCCCGCTCCTGCGCATCTACACTCTGAGCGGTGGGCGGCTGATAATTCCATGGCTGACTCCCTTTCAACAACTGACGCAGTCTTGCTCGCGCAACACATGCCATAGTCTTTCTTTCCCTGCATATCTGCATGGCTCCTGACCAAGAGAGGCCCCTTTTGCTAGAGTAACGATTTAAAAACAACCTGTGCTTTTGTGAACTCCATACCCGGGGGTAAACTAATGAAAGCAGAGTCCCTAGATGACCTATGGGCAAATATTGAGAAATGTTAAAGTGAAAGATGATGCGGCTACAAATAGAGGCGGGAATTAACGGTAACCGACGGGGGCTGGAGACAGGGCCCAGGGGAAGAGAGTCCCAGCACCTACATGGCAGCTCACAACCATCTTTTACCTCCTGTCCTGACACATCTGATACCCTCTTCTGGCCTCTGCAGGTATGGGGCATACACACATGGCTATACATACATGTATACGTATGGGCAAAGCTCCATTTTTTTTTTTTTTTTAAAGCTTGGTACAGGCCTGTAACCCCAGTTCCTAGGAGGTAGAGGCAGAAGGGTCAGAAGTTCAAGCTCATCCTCAGCCACACAGCTAATGAGTCATCCTGGACTATGCTGGGCAGTTTTACATCACTGGGACACAAGTTACAGTCATCAACAAAGAAAATGCCTCCATTAGGTCGGGCTGTAGGCAATCCTGTATGTAGAGCATTTTCCTAATTATTGACTGACGGGGGAGGGCACAGCCCACGGTGGGTGGGGCCGTCCTTAGGCTGCTGGTCCTGGGCTCTGTAAGAAAGCAGGCTGAGCAAGGCACGGGCAGCAAGAGAGTGAGCATCTCTCCCCATGGCCTCTGCATCAGCTGCTGCCTCCAGGATCCTGCACTGTTTGAGTTCGTGCCTTGGCCTCCCTTGACGGACTACGACTACAGATATATAAGCCAAATAAACCCTTTCCTTCCCAAGTTGCTTTTGGCTGTGGTGTTTCATCACAGCAACAGTATCCTTAACTAGTGCTGTGACTCTGAAAAGTGGCTCCAGAGAGAAAGGCGCCATGTGACAGAGCTTGGGTGGAGGTGTTTTTTATTGGGGGGGGGAAGTGAATGGGAAAAGGGGGAGGGGAGGCAGGTTTTAGGGACAGGAGCAGTGAAAGAGAAAGGCAGAGAGAGAGAGAAACAGACTGGCAGAGAGAGAGAGAGAGGAGAGACAGAGAGACTGGCAGAGAAGGGGGAGAGAGAGATACACACACAGAAATGGGAACATAGTGAATGTGCACAGGTGGTGTTCTTAGTGGCTGCAGCTGAGGGCGAATCTTGTTAGGACCCCAAGGTCAGGCCAGTAAAGATGCCTGAGTACTAATAACTAGGACATGAGCTATTCTGGAAAAAGGGGAAAAAATGCATAGTAAATGAAAATCTTGTGACATCAACCTCTGACCTGAGCCTGTGTGTGTGTGTGTGTGTGTCCCAACTGCTTATTTTGCCAACTATTCCAGCAATCTGAAACACAATTCCTTTTGTATGGTAAAGACACTATACATAAGATTTTATACATAAACTAAGGAATACGTGTGACCTCTCTCTCTGACAATATTCCAAAAAATGCCACTGAAGAACTCAGACAAGAGTGCAAAGTGCCGACGTGGGTGTGGGTGTTCCAGAAGACATGTGGCAAGGCAGGGTTACCACAGTGTTCTAGCAAAGCAAATAAAACTGCTGTCCCCAGAGCTTCTGTGATGTTGGACACCTCACACCCTGCCCGCCACCAAGGAGGCTCCGGAACATCATTGCAAAAAACACCATTTACCTATTTAGCATGGGTGCTGGTGCTGTGACACTTCAGGGAACTGAACTCAGGTTGTTGACAGGCCCAGCATAAAAAAGAACCCAGGGCTGGAGAGATGGACCCAGGTTCAACTCCCAGGACCCACACGGGGAATGGCTCCTCCAAGTGGTCTTCTATCCTTCACATTCAGGTCACTGTGCCATGTGCACATACACCCCCCCCCCCCAAACACAGAGCCTGCTGGCATAAAGAAGCAAATAGAGACGTTCTAGAGGCAAGTGGCACCTCCACTACACAGGGACAACAGCCGAGCTAAGTGAAAGTCACCGAACCGAGAACACCTTATATATCATTAGTCAATTTGGTTTTCATCAGTGGTATTAAGGCAAGACTTGTTGAATACTTTAGTCACGGTAGAGGCAGCTTTTTTTTTTTCCTGGACAAAACACTCTTTAAGGATTTGGTTTTTTTTAAAGCTTTGAAATCCCGGCCATTGTGGGGCAGAAGACAAATCTCTGTAAGTTCAAGGCTAGCCAGGGCTATATAGGGATACCCTGTCTCAAAAACAAAAAACAAACAAAAAAAAAAAAAAAAAAAAAAAACACGAAAATCAAACAGGGAGGGAGGGAGGGAAAGAAGGAAGGAGGGAGGGGAAATGAAGAGAAGGAATCTCTGGGGGCAGGAGGATATGGAACATCTTGAATGACAGTAAAACCTAAGCTAAGGATGGGAATTAAGACTCTGGGTACAGGGGTTATTTCGGCGGGAGAGCACCCTCTCAGCATGCATGAGACTTTGGGTTCCATCCCCAGCACGGAGGGAACGAGATTCAACGTCCTCATGGCTCAGTGGAAACTGCAAAGCAACAAGGCCACGGGGTCTACGGGGGAGGGGGGGGAAGAGGGGCTGAGGCAGTGGTCATGCAAACACCTCAAACCCATCTAGAAAAGACAGACCCACGGAACACACAGCACACATTACTTCACAGCCCAGGAACATACATACAGCTCTGCTTACCATTGTCACATGTGACACGCGGGAAGCCAAAATGCTGGCAGCGGCTGGCTCGCCAAACCGATTTCACAACTCACTGAGCGGCTGCGACCAGCAACTTGAAGGGCACTGAGCTAGGGTTATTACCACACAGGAAAAGGCCGGACCCTGCTGCTGCTTCAGCTCAGCCATCAGCTGAGAGCAAAAGCAGAACCGAAAGGGACAGGGGAAACTCTTTGCAACGCGAGCAGTGCTGACCCAGGACGAAACCAGTGGAGGTTCGGTCTTAATCCGCCTCCCCTTCAGTCAGTGCCTTGGGCAAGCCCCCAAGGGGTCGTGCGTGTGTGTGTGTGTGCGTGTGCGTGTGTGTGCGTGTGCGTGTGCGTGTGCGCGCGTGTGTGTGAACTGACTCTGGGACGGAAATGAAGTCTCCTGACACCACCCATTCGGGTTAAAGTGGAACCTGACAGCAATGCTGATTTCTTCCCCCTTGATGCTTCAGCAAAACACACTTCTCTCAGCAGCAGCCCCTTCATTTAGTTCCCACACCAAACCACTAGAGCTCCAATCATCCCGCAGCCATCCGCGCAAATGCCGACCGTGCCAGGGGGACCAAGCGGGGGCCTGGGGTCTCCCTGACCCACCCCTGGCATCCACAGGTTCGCCCCGAGCCGGTGGACGCCGCAGCGGGAGGGTCCCCACTAGAGGCTCCGAGCGCACGGCGGTGCGTGCGTGCGTGCGCGCGCGCGTGCGCTTGCGGGGGAGCCCGGGAGAGGGACGCGAGTCCTTCCGGCCGTCCGGGCTCACGGAGCGCCCGCGCACACCCCGGTGGCCCGCACGGCCCAGGCGGCCGGCGCAGGGGGTGCGGGCAGGGTGCGGGCGTGGGCGCGGAGCGGGCTTACCATGCCGCCGAGCTCCGCGTCTTGGTCGTCGGTGAGCAGCAGCAGCACGTTGGGCCTGCGAGCCGCCCCGACGAGCCCCAGGCAGGTGCCCAGCAGCGGCGGCAGCAGCAGCAGCAGCAGCGCGGGCGAGCGGCCCGGCCGGGGCCCGGCTGCGCACACGAGCCGCATGGCCACCGCGCTCCGCTCGGCTCCGCTCGGCTCCGCTCGGCGGGGACCGACAGCGACCGACGGACCCCGAGTGCGCGCAGGCCGGCCGGGTCCGGCTTTCTCTCCCTAGGCGAGATCACGTGAACTGGAGGCAGGGGGCGGGGCGCGCCGTCACGTGACGGGCCGCCGGGGGCGGGGCCTGGAGAGCCGGGGCGCTGGGCTGCCGGCTGCACAGGGCTGGGACCGCGCGCAGCCTCTCTCGTCCCTCAGGCCCGTGTCTGGTGCAGAAGGAAGGACTACCGGGGACGGGGGGTGAAACCGGGGTGCAGTGGGCTCGCCGGCCCTCCGGAGAGAAGGGACGCGTCTGCTGTGGACACAGATCAGCTGCTGGCCAAAGTCCGGGCCGATCCCCGGGGTTAAGGAGCAAACTGCTCCGCCTGCGTCCTTCCGCTTTGGGGAGGTGAAGTTCTCATTCGGCCCAGCTGTTGTTTAATTCTTCTTGGCCCGGCTGGCAGGCAGTTTCAGACCATTAGTCTTTATGCTAAGTAGTTCTTGGTGGACGTTTTAAAAAGTCAATTACATGTTAATACGCGTTTATTTTGATGTCTCGAACATTCCGCGGCATGTGTGTGGACTTCAGAAAACAACTTGCTGGAGTCATTCGTGCCTTCTAAGGAGTGGGTCCGGCCAGGGGATCGAACTCAGGTCCTTAGGTTTGGCTGCAGGTGTCTTTGTGTGCTGAGTCTTCCTGGCCAGGCCTCTGTTGAGTTTTCTGCAAGTCTTCCTGGAAGCTTTTTTAGAATGTGTACGATCAATTGCAACGAATATTTTTCCTTTGTCGAATCCAGGCCTCAGGTAAATATTTTCAGTTGGTTAAATTGCTGTTAGGGCTTCCTGTAAGATTAATGCACTGTGTACCATGAGTATTTGTTTTTAATGCAGAACACGTACATTGCCATTTGCGTTGGCATTGAACTCAATACCTTTACATATATATTTTCAGATTTATGTGTGTAAGTGTTTGCCCGAGTGCATGTTACATGCTTGTCCAGTTCCCGGGAAATCAAATGAGAGTATCCGGCCCCGGGACTGGAGGTGTCCTGAGGCACCACGATGGTTGCCGGGAATTGAAACAGGTCCCTTTGCAAGAGTGGACAATTCCCATGAAAATGTCCTTATAGTATAAACACTACTTTTCCTGCAGCCTCTGGAGTGTAGACCTTTGATACCCCTCTCCCACCACCCCTGGGAGACAAGGTCCTCTTCTGCAGCTCAGGTTTGCTCGGCTGCCCCCAAACTGTCACTTAGCTTTAAACTCCACAGGTCCTGTTTCAGCCCCCTGGAATGCTGGGACTTCCAGGGTGAACTGCCACACCCATCCTTCTCGGGTTCAATGCCCTCATAGCCACACCCCTAACCAGGATGGACTGACCCAGCAAGATTAACCCTCCTGCTGTGAATAATTAGGCCCTGAGGAAGAAATCTGTCCACACACAGATGATGACAGCCAGTGCCGGCCTGTGTGCAAGGAAAGAGAGTTCTTCAGGCTTCTGGCCATGAAACCCTAAGAGTAGGAAAGTGACTTGGGAACCTCTGACAGGTGTTAATAAGGGGATGGGGAGAAGAATATGGATGCTCCAACAAAGCCTTAATGACGCTTTTCCCAATAAGGGGGTCAAGGGGCCACTAACAGAGATGTCATCTCCAGTTAGAGGGAGGAGCTGCATTTCTGTTGGGTTGTTGGGGCAAGCTAAGCTAGGGACATGAGTGAAAGTTTAAAGATGCCTTTCTCATGAAATTAATTTTTTAACAATTATTTAGAGTGTGTGTGCATGCTGTGTGTGTGTGTGTGTGTTCTCAATCGAGTGCATACGTATACGCAAATGGCAATCAGGACCACTTAAGTGTCAGGGATTGAACCCAGGTTATAGGTTTGGTGGCAAGTACCTTTCCCTGTGGAGCCGTCTTGCCGTCTTGCTGGCACTCTCTTGAATTTTGAGACTCTTGCTTCTGTGTAAGATACCCGTCAGGATGACTCATCAGTGTATAAAGCAAGGCGAAGGTTGCCCCTGTAGAAGTAGCAGCCATCACTGTGAGGAGGGCTGGAGGTGTTTTCCCAGAGGTCGAAGGTCAAGGTATCAGGAGCAGGCAGCTGATCACCTGAGATCCGGGAGCAGATCAGAGGGGGTGCTACCCTCAGATAAAGCAAGGCTACATTCAAATAACCAGGCTTAAACACACTTTCACTCCATCAAGCTAGCTGCAGGAGACCTCACTCCCCTTCCAGAAGAAAGCCCCCCAAATGTTAAGACCATGAAAACTAGGTAATAAAGTGAAATTTATACATTCAGTAAAACTTACTACAGAGATCTCAAAGCAGAAGACCATGGCTCACAGCCAGGAGGAAACGGTTGCTTTGGAAACCAAGTGATGAAAAAGGTAACGGACCAGGGCTCCAAAGCACCTAATAGAACTATTGAAGTTTTTGTTTTTTACATGAAAGTATGAACCCAATAAAAAAAAAGAAAGACTGTTGTTGTTATTGTTGTGTTTTTTAAATGTCACCTACTAGTACTCTATCCCACTGGTCAAATTAACAGATTAAACAATGGGGGGGGGGATAAAGCTGACTTGACAGCGCAGAGATGGAAATAAAAATGTACAGAATCTCTGTGATCTATGTGATGCAACGATGTAGTCCCTCATTCATAGAACGGGAGTTAGGGAAAGAAGTTTTTTTTTTTTTTTTTTTTTTTTTTTTTTTTAGGAAATAATAGTTTCTAAATGCCCTAAATTTGGAGAAAATAGGATCCAAGAAGCTCAACCACATGGAGAAAAATCAGACATCCCTCCCCAAGGCATGGTGGCAGATACCTGTAGTTCCGGCTCTTGGGAAGCTGGGGGTGGGGGTGGAGAGGACCACACATTTGAGGGGGGAAAAAGAGAGTCTAAGAAAACTTCTAGCTAACCACCTACTTCACTGTAGAAGGCTAAATGGTAGCCTTCTAGGCTGGTACCAAGAATATTCTCTCTCAATCTGCTGATTAGCATTGTGGTGTCGGTGGCAGCCAGGGCAGAAGAAAAAGAAAGAAATGTGGAAGCACCTCCTCAGACGGGGGTGGAGACTCTCTCTAGGGGTGATGGGACCAGGGAGCCTGAAGATGAGGCCGACTAAAGTCTCATAGCCGGCTTTACTCAGAGCATCAGTCACGGTCTACGCTGAAGACTAAGAGGCATCACATGGGTAAGGTGTTTAATCACAGGGCAAGCCGCACGTGGCAAAAACATGTTTTTTCCACGGAAGCCTCTGCACAGCAAGAGCCAGTTGTAACGGATAACCCGAAGTGAGCTCGCTCGTATCCACCGCACCTGGGAAGGGCACGCAGCACATCCTAAGAGCAACCCTTCGTATGGAGGGACACAGGTTATCACACTTGTCTTCTCTTGCCGTCGTCTCACGCGGTCTCAGAAACCTCCGTTCATGGACCGCGTTCTGACATCAAACATTATTTTTGTCACTTTGACATTTTTTCCCCCTTTTCCCGAGACGGGGTTTCTCTGTAGCTTTGGATCCCGTCCTGGAACTCGCTCTGTAGACCAGGCTGGTCTCAAACTCTCAGAGATCTGCCTGCTTCTGCCTCCCGAGTGCTGGGATTAAAGGTGTGCGCCCCCAATGCCCAGCTTGAAATCTAATGAAATAAATAAGGGTCAAAGTGCCTGTAAAATGTTTTCTTACTTGGATGCCACCCAGTATCAGTACCTCCTATACTGATTTTTGCTACTTACCAGCATGGATGTGTTCGAATACTTTTTAAAATGTATTCCTTGATAATTTCATACAGTATATACAAAGTATCTTGATCATTTCTACTCCAACTCCACCCATCTCAGTCTCCCCCAAACCCCAAGTCTTCATGCCACTCACAGCCCCACAGCCTTCCTGTCCTCTCCTGACTTTGTTCTTTTTTTTTTTTTTTTTTTTGTGACCCAATTCGTCTGGTCTGTCTAATCAGTACTGCCTGCTGGAATGTTGATAATCTTGCTGGCTTTAGTTTGTTCAGGTCTTGCTCAGGGAGCTGTAGCTACAGTGAATCTATAAATGCAAGTCATGTCCGGAAGACAGCAAAGCACCCCAACCATGCCCCAGCTCTCGAATTCCATCTGCCCCTCTTCCCTGAGCAGTAGAGGGGGGAGGATTGGTATATATAGACGCCCTGTTTGTGGCTTAACACTAAGTCACTTGTCAGAATTTTGATCAGTCCTGACTCCATAGTAACTACTGCTCAGTGCAGAAAGCAGGGTCTCAGGCCGAGGTCAACACTCATCTATGACTAGAGACATAAATATTGAGAGAGCAAATTGACAACATCCCCTTTAGAAAACCCACAGTGGTAGCCTCCCCACCCCACCCAGGCTCCATGACCTCCACAGCCATGGGATTTGACTAGACTGAGCATACTAGGCATGTCTTCTTTCCTACAGAGTAGGCCTCATATCCAACCAGAAGGTAGTTGGTTGTCTATAACCTCCATGCTTCTCCTGCACCACTGGACACACTTTTTGCCTGGTGGTTGTAGTATCCAGGGTTCACTACTGGGTGAGTCCATTGATGACCTTTTTCCCCTGGTGGCCTGTGTAGCATCTCAGAGCACTGAGAGCTAGCCCACAGGTGGGAGTTTTCAGTGAGTCCACTTTGATTTCTCTAGGTCTGTGTAAAATGTGTACCTTCGGCAACAGGCAAGAACCATCTAGCTACAGCAGGCGAACAAAGCCGTTGCTTTGGGGGCCTCAGGGCCTCCCTGACTAATAATTCACAGGAAGAACCTAGCACCTGGCACTTGGATTCTAACTTAAAAACCTATGTCTTCTCAGCGAAGGGTTGTCTGCCTATTCTGGGTACCTGTGTTCAACCGACCGACTCTTGTTTCTTCCTCCTCCTGGCCCTGGGCAACCAGGTTTCTGTTGTGCCCCATGTAATTGCTAAAAGAACTTCTTAGGCAAAGTGTGCAAACCAATACAGAGTATTTCCCACAGCCTCTTGTG